CCTCGGATTTGTACATGGAGATGCTTGCCAAAGATATCGTGCCTGACGCTGTCACTCACTTTGTACTGGTGCGGGGTCTGTGTAACAAAGGACAGCTTGCCAATGCGAGAAAAGTGTTGGATGATATGTATGTGAAGAATCTGACGCCTAATGTTCTTATTTACAGTACATTAATTTCCGGGTATTTTAAGCAGGGGAATTTGCAAGAGGCTTTTAGGCTGCATGATGAGATGCTGGAACGAGGTTTAACTCCTGATGACAAAACGTATGATATTCTTGTGGCTGGAAAGTTTTAAGGAGATAGCTTTCCTCTTGTTGTTTGAACCAGTAAGCATGCTTTACATCAGGGTCAAATGTTGTGTCCTTCTACTTCCATTGAAAGAAACAGTCTTCATTTCCTCAAAAACTTTTTGGCTTCTCCTAAGAAGCGACATTCTGGATATATCTTGCAATATATGCCTGAGTTCTTGGCACGCCAGGCCCCCCCCGAAGTTCTCAGGGAAAAGCTTGTTTAGGGAATGAAGATGCTTTTCTCTTGTTCGATGTACCTTCATTGAGGTTAATCACTATCCCTTTCATTTTTGTTTGTTAGTTGAATTTATTTTCCATTTTGGGTAATCATGGAAAGATTTTCGACAGGTGCGTGTGTTAAAGGATTTCATGTAGAGTGTCTTTTTGTTTGTATACTGATGTGTTCACTTTAGTTCTGCTGAAGAACATAATGATTTATATCCTGTTAAGAATTCCTACAACCACCACAACTAAACCTTTTCGCCTGTACCGATGAAGATTTATTACAACAGGTAAAAAAAATTGGAACAAAAAGCTTTCTAGAGTCATGCTTTTGCTGGATCCAGCTTCCTTTTATTTCATATCAGTCATAGGCTGAAAGATTCTTTTATTTTGGAGTCCTTTCTTCTTCAATCAAATTCAGTAAGATAGAAGGTTTAAGCTTCCTGATACTGAGTTATTTTTTTGCAGTTGACAATGAAATTTGTTTTAGTATTCTTTTTTTTAATGATTTTATTCTGATTATTTTGCTCTGTTCAGTTTTATTTCAAATTTCATGCTTCGGCTCTATAGTCCATCTTGGCAAAGCATACTGGCCAAGCTATGAGCTGCTTTGAATCTAAATCGACTCATACCAAATGTCACTCTTAGAGTATAGAGTCACTGCTATGTTTTGGCAACTTACTGGCCATGATCCTACTGTTAAACCGAGTTGGGAATATACTGGGTGTGTTGTTTTTGTTGTTGTTGTTGGTACAAACCCCCCATTCCCTTAGACTATGTTTTGGCCGTGATAATACTGTTTAATCTCCCAGTACCTTGTTTCCTGGTTCCAATTTGCCATTTCTTACTTCATGTCTTTGCCAATCAAATTGGACTATTTGACCCTCTTTTGAGTACCAGCACATGTTGAAGCTCCGTTATTTCCTAGAAAGCTTCTTAGTAATCGGTTTCAGGGAAAATTTTGGTCATGCTTCTGGGTTTTCTTTTCATCATGCTTTTCTAAAATCACGGCTCTGCTTTATTATAAGGTTTTATCACATCAAATATAATATTATTCGCGTGTTACAAGCTCATTCACAAACAAAGCAGCTGCTTTACTACCCTGCAACTTAATGCTTACATCTATTGTGCCTATTTGCCAAACGGATAGCTAGCTTCATTGTGGTGTGTGATCGTTCTTATTAGTGAAGGTAAATTTTAGCTTTATCTGTCAAGTATCCTGACTAATAATGTGGGTTTCTGAACCTTGCATTTTGATCATCTCTGCCAAACCAGCAGTGTATTCCTGTTTGCTGGGATTTTTTTTTTTTTTTTTTTTTCCGTGGTCATTTGTTTTGTACCTAGCCTTAATCTCTAAGTCCACTAATATCCAAAATAAACTGGCACTGGAATTGATAGGCTGCTTGGATTAAGAGATGTTATCTTTGGGTGTTGAAGTTAGGGCAGTGTTGGCTTTTAATTGTGGCATGTGATGAACGCAGAACTCAGTTGGGAATTAAACACCTCTTTTATTTTATTTGGATCTGACGGATTTTTTTCCAGGTGTCTTTTTTTGGGTTATGTTTAAATAGATGATTTACATTTTCCCCAAGAAGGAAGTGAGTTTACATATGCATGATTTGAAATTATGTAATGTGGGATTATTAATAGTCTGGTTATCAATGGGGAAGTTTGGTAGGTAAAGGTCAACTGAAATTAATTTTATATTCGTGGGATTCTCAGATTGTGTTATCGGGGGCATTTGGAGGTTTTTCATTTGATGCCTGATTATTATAAACTCGCTTTCCTCTGCGATCAATTTATAACTTATGTCTTTTGTCTATTCTTTTCTACTTTCGTTCTTTCGTTGGTTTTTGATGCTTTGGTTCTAAGTTTGCCTGTATTTTGAGTTGAATGTGTTTGCTTTTATTTCTATTTTTACGACTTCAAAAGTGGTCTGTAAACTGAAAAAGAATTTACCACTTTGTGGTTTTCTCTTTATTTTGTCAAGTGGAGATCGGTAAGGTTTATTTGTTATCTCACAAATATCTTGAATACTAAATTTTGTAATACAAGATATGAGTTTTTTCCTTGGCATTGTTACTGATTTTACTTGTGGCTTTAACAACGAGGAAGATCACGCTGTAGTTTGCAATTTTAGAGTAGACAAAGTCAGAATGGTTCATCACTTTATGGGATTTCTAACTTCCAAGACATGTTTCCCTTTTTTTTTTTTTTTCCGTTTACCTGCTTAGGGATTTCAATTAAAAATAATCCCATCACCACTGTAACTTGACTTGTGTTATTGTTGTTGGGAGGACCAGTTACATTGAGGGTCTTCCCTTGAGTCTCGTGTTGCAACAACTTCTTTCTTACTATAGGATTCTTTTTGTCATCGTGTACACCTTATGGCCCATCAAGTAAATTTAGTTGCTGGGAAAAAAATTACTACTACAAGATTTGCAATAGACTTGTGATGTGCCGGAAATGAACTAAGTCCTGGCAGGAGTTGTAGGATTTTTTTTTTTTTGGGGGGGGGGAGAGGGGAGAATCTAGACATGTTCCTTGATGTTGTTATTTGGTTCTTTCCCCATTTTAAAATTCTTTTGCAATTTATTGGGGATTTCTTCTGTTTTTGGGTTGATGGGTTGGTGACGATGGATAGCAAAACTGAGAACAGTGTCTTGCTGACCCTTTTTAAATATGTGCCCTCAAAATTGACATTCGATTATCAATTCCCCTTTTTATTTATGGTGGTAAAAGATTGGGTTGTTGCCGTTTTCAACTACTTCCATTTGCTCTTGCTATGGGAATATCTCTTCATCTTTCTTTTTATACTTTTTGGTGACTGTGTATTATGATGTCAATGATGTAGTTCTATAAAGTTAAGTTTTGATGTGAATCAATTATTAGATTAGAAAATGAAGAGAGTAGAGACAATGATCTAGTAAGCGAAAATGCACCTTGATCTGGTTTTCGATTGTGTGAAATTTTGTGTTTTGTACAAGCATATTTTTTTCCCTGGAGGAATTCTTAATTTTGTTTCAGCCTTCCAGCCACTCCTCCTAGTGGAGATTCTGAAGATCCGCCTCGAAGTCTTTGTTATCGTTCATGACATAGAAGAGATCCAGAGAAGTGAAAAGCAAGTACAAGTTTAGATGGGATTTTAAAATAATGTTGTTACATAAAATGTCATGTGTTCTTTCCTTTGTTTTTCCTTGGTTTTGAGTCTTTGCCTTTAACTTGGTGATTATTAGTTCTTACCATTTCCCTTCTAAGGCCGACCGTTTTTATAGATTGCAGTTTCAATTCTTATATTAATTCTTACAATTTCCCCTTCTAAGACAGACAATATTTGTAGATTGCAGTTTCAATACCTTCATTTTTCCTTCTCTGGATTTAGATTCAATATCCTTAGTGTTGTTCCAAAATATTCAGTTGGGTTTGAGCTAACCAAATTATTGTCTTTTACTCTTTTGTAGGAGAAGAAGCAAAGAATTGAAGAGAAACAAAGTCTTAATGATCCTTTAGTCATCAATAATGCCGATGTTTAACGAGAGGCATATTGCAAGTATTGACAGTAACATGTAAGGCACAAGACATGCAATGAAGGCTTGCAGGTTGATCCTTCAATTTTCCTTTTCTGATCGTCGTCTGTCAAATATTGACAAAAATGGTTCAAATTTTTTTTTAATGTCTTTCATTCATATGAATGCAGGTAGCAGCCAATTTTGCTAGCAAAAAGTTCATCAGTATTGGCTTAGGAATTTAAGTGATGGAATGATTTATGGGCTTTCCAATAAAAGAAGATTTATATAGAGGGTCAACAAAAGCAACCATTATCCTGCTGCTTGTAAGAAGCTGCTGCAATCTTTAGGAAAATTCTTCATGCGGTTCGCCATCTTTCCATCACTCAGTCACTGGCCATTGGTCAATTGCTACAGCCTCAACTGATGGATCCAAGTGAATGCCAAAAAGTATCTGAAACCTAGCTCAAAGATGAACACCGGCAAGAAGTGAAGGTGAATTGGGTATAACGGCTTGTTGTCTTAACAAATATGACAAACAATCCTCCACTTACATGAACAATTCTGTATTGAAAATGATTGTATAAACTCACTACAGTGTACCTTTGTGCTCGTGTCTTTTGAATCTATTCATTTTTGTGTTCCATCTTTATGATGATGAGTTGAAGGTATTAAGTGCATTTTTTCCAAAATTGGGTCCACAATTTTCGTTGTGTGTATGTGTGTGTGTGTGTGTATATATATATATAATTTTAATCTATGATGAAATAGACGTGTCTCGTTTTTATTTTAATGGTACTTGACGAGATCGGTCTAGTTAAATCCATCATGAATTCGAACATATATATATTTTTTCTGGTCTTAGTTATCGTGGCACTGTATCTGCTGAGATGAGTTGTGGCAGAAGCAGCTGCGATATGATGAAAGATGAAGCAAAAGGAAAAAGAGAAAATGAGTAGTTTTTTCAAGTTCAATAAGTACCTATATTTGACAAAATACTCCCGCTAGATATAATTTTGGAAGATTGGTTTCGATCTCATTTCATAGTAGTAAAATGAAGCCTTTTGTCCAAGACGCTTGACTGAGAAAATACACTTTTACATCTGTCAATTGCGCCAGGCTTTTGCTTACATTTACGACCTCAGGTGAATGATATACAACGATGGGTAAGTTCAACCTAGCATTTTTTTTTTTTGGAAAAGAATGGACTAACAAATGGCAAGAAAAATGAGCTATGAACTTGTATATTGAGATATCATCAGGGCAATCTTCTCTAGTAATTCTGTTGCACCCTGCTCTCCAGATGGGTATGGGGTGCTCCATTCTTGATACTGATGGAAACTTCCAGTGAAATCTGTGAAGATTCCATCAACCCCAATCTTCTTGATCCAGAACTCATACTCATTGTAAGGATCTTGACTAAAGTTGAAATGCAAGTACGAGTTCTCGTTCCTAAAAGTGTATGGATGTACCTGAGATGAAGAAAGAGAGCATTTCAGAACAAGAATCATATGAAATGCACCTTGCTGCATCATAAAGATTATCAGGAGATACATTTTGTGTACAAAGCAACATCGATAACAAGAGGTACCGCTGCTGATGCAAGAATAGTGCTAACTGTTTAAGCGTGATTCAGTTTGGGGAAAAGAAAAAAAAAAAAAGAAAAGAAAAGAGAGAGAGAGAGAGAGAGAAAGAGAAGGAAGAGTTCTCAGAAGTAGATTGTCGTTTACAGGGTTACCATTAATCATTTCTTGGACTGAGCTAATGTTCTGACCATGAGATGAAGGAGAGACTGGAGGATATAGTAAGAAGACAAAATAACCAAATTACAATCCTATATTTTGTAACATAATAAGAGTGATTACAACTTTTATCCATGCCACATCATTCCTCTCCGAATCAGTATTCACTCAGAACAAAGCAAAGAAACAAGGTCCTTGGACACTAGTACCAGAGACACAATCATCTCAATATCTCATCCATCCTACACAATTTTACTGAAGCACGAAATGTTCAGTTTTCTTCGTCCGAATCAGATGACATTTACAGCATACTATAGACTCTTGTCCAGTAAAAGGAGATCTTAGAGAACAAAAGTTTCATATTAAATTTGGTAAACATACCTGAAGGTTATAATTATGAGCTCTAGTAACAAGATCAGAGGGCGTTTGGAGATAATTGTTGGATACGGGAACTATGGTGTCCTTCCAAGGTCCAATCCCTACCACGTAATCTTTGATGAAGTCAAAGTACTTGTCAGAAGTGATTTCCCAATACGACTGAAATGCAACAAGAACAAGTTTCAAAACCACAAAGATTCGGAATTCGAAGCACTAGTAAAACATTAAGGGAAGACCACAGGCAACTCCAAGAAGGGAAGTCCAGATCATTTAACTAATTACATGAAAACATAATGAGCATGGCAACGAAGAGAAGGGGCGTTGACAACAAGAAAAGTGGCAAACTTGATTTTGTAATGAAACATAACTGCAATGATAAACAAAGCTCTCAATCTCCACAAGATAGACAGTAGAGATCCATACCATCAGTTGCATTCTTAAGGCATTATGGAATCATTAGTCATCCAATAGTGATTCACCACCAATACTAAAGACTTTTGCGGCAAACATAAAATGATATTCAAAAACAGAATGCCTACTTAGGACAGAGGAGGTAAGAAACCTGATTAGTATCCTGGGTAGGCATAGTAGTATCATCAATTAGGAGGATCTTAGGCAGGTCCGTGAAGTTTGATACATATATAAGAGACGTTGGGGCAAAAGACTGAATAAATGCAGGCTTCTTTAACCATTGTTCCGACATGTAAGTTCCCTTGTAGCCGTACTTATCTAGCATCTCGACAAACTTGTCCTCGAATTTTTTACCGCCTGGCCATTTCACCTGTGGAAAATAGCTTGAAATGATGGAGATCATTTTAGGGGCCAGAAAGAAAAGAGAGGAAAAAAGGATAAATTTAAGAGCAAATATAGAAGTAGTGGAAGAAAGGACTTACACGTTGGTTGATAAAAACAGGATTTTTTATTTCTGGATATATTCCAACTACTCTGGGAGCTTCTAATGCAATCGTTATGAATTCTTCAAAGGTAATTATTGGGAATTTTCCTGTTTGAATGTTTTACGAGACAAATCAATGTTAAATTTCAAACTCAAAAGCTTCCGGGTTTGCGTAATGATAGTTAAAAAGGATTGTCCAGATCGGAGAATAAAAATGATGCTTTGTAGCATCCCCTATATACAATACATCATAGAGATTAGAGAGAGAACTTACCATTGTATTGTTGATCCCTGAAAGGATATCTTTGAATCACACGCAATGACTTCAGCTCCTTTAACGTGAAATCAACTACACGAAGACCAGGAAAATTTCAAATGTATTTCATTTAAAGCTCAGGAAATATATTGATGTTCAAAAGATGAAAATTACACATGAACTCTATTTTAGAGAACTTTCTACTGAGAAAAACTAAACTAGTCATGTGGGGAATTAAGTTGAAAGTGTATTAAACATATTCAAAACTGGCAGAAAATTACAGAACTGAAGAATAATGCATTATTGATGTACCAACAAAATAGCCAGTCATATTTGCGCCTTGAACTTCGTAAGTTCTCTTTCGATCAGCAAACTCCTGGTGTTTAGCTATGTCAGTTGTAACATCCAGAGTAAGATCATGGAAGCATATAAGTGCACCGTCTTTGGACGCTAAAATATCTGTCTCTATAAAGTCTGCACCCTCTTCAATTGCTCTCTGCAAGAAGTTCAAGTTCAGAAAAGCATAAAAACTATAGGATAATAACTGCTTAATGATGTTTTTCAATGTGATAGCAACATCAGCAATGCCTTTATTCCACTATGTGGAATCAATCAAAAGATTCACCAAAATATGATCCATACAGTCCTAAATAGTGGAAACAGGCTTAGTCGTTGATGTATAAGTACAGCCTCTGAGAAAGCATCATATAGGTACCAAAGCACCTAAATGTGCAGAACCACATACCAAATATGCAGGCCTAGTCTCTTCAGGTATTTCACCATTAGACCCTCGATGTGCAAGGTTGTAAGGTCGAAAAGTTTGTAAAGGGCGCTTGGTTCTATCATTTCTACGACTGGGAAGCGGGTAAAGAGGTCTTGCAGCACAGCCAACAAGCAGCAACAAGAAGATAAAAGGGACTGCACCTGAAATTCATCACCATAAAGTTTATAGTATAACCGATAACATAGAAGTAACGAATAATTCATAGACTTGTAACTATGAGCAAGGCCACAATAGATTTGTGCAATTATGTTACCATATTTGATAGGCTAAATCTCTTCACACACAAGAATGCCTCATTAGAAACAATAACACAGACCTTAGCTCAAGTTCCTAATCAGATGGATTTACCAACTATTCCATGAATTACTACAAACATTTTCTTTGTTCATCAAAATGGTGAGTTCAGAAAGCTGTCCTAAGTACTCGGGAACCTAATATAGAGCAGGCTAATTCATAAAAGCCCAGATGCCAAAAATAAGGAAATCAGCTATACAAGGCCTTCAAGAACAGAGAAAGAACTCAATAGAATTGCCAAGACTAAATCTTTTTTTCTTCCAATGAAAAGATTTAAAATCAAGAATGATCATAAACGGCAATCATAAACTAGAAATGAGAGAGAGATTTAAAGCGGGTTATAGAGGGATCTCATTTTTACCTGATGAGGAAGCCATGGCTTAGGTGGGCCCTTTTGTCTTCGTTGTCTTCTTCTCCTTCTTCTTCGTTTTTTTAGAACAGGTTATATTACAGAGCTGGGAAGCAAATTAAGTGGGATGTTCTGAGAATATGCTGATGATTAATTGGAGGATAACTAGATAAGATTCCAGTATAATGCTGTCATGGGTTTTGAGTCAATAAATAAACGTTAATTTTGTCGAAGATTGATGAGCTAGTCGAATTCTATGATTACGCATGGTGATGATGCTCAGTTCAGATGATGATTTCGAAGAATTTTTGTTCCATCTTTTGGGAATATCCTTGTAAACATTGGGAAAAAGACCGGTCAATTAGTCTTTTGATCCTTAATGTTCAGTCCATCTGGATATTTGGTCCTTTTGCTAAAGTTTCAGATTTATTTCTCATCTTCAATTGGATAAATGAAACCAAATTCAATATTGATTTTCGATTTTCTACAGTACAGTATAGTGTAAAGGGCAAAACTCATTTTTGATCACTAAACTTAGGTAGAATTCCACACCAATTTCCCATAATTAAACACCATTAGTTTTTTATTCAACACTTTAAGTTTTTGTCGCTCGAAACTTTAATATTGTTACGAGAAAGTCATTCTTCTTTAGTCAACTTTTTTTTCTTCTACTTCTTGACATGTTTTTCCTTCTATTTTTTATTTTAATTTGTTTGGCACTCTCTTTTAATTTATATAAAATCTATATGTAGTGTTATTTTATTTATTTTTGATTACTTTACTCTCTTTTTTGTAGAAATAAATTTCTTTCCTACTAGAATTGATAGTAACATGATTTTTTCATTTATTTTTTCAATTAAACTTTAAACATATATACATACGCTAGATTCTAGTCTAATTGAATTTATTAAATTTGAATTTTATACTATTTATACTAGACAGTTACTTAAGAAAAAATGATTTTAATCTTCTTCTTGTTTACGAATGGGTTAATATTATCAAGACATTCGATATCATTCTGCTTATTATAATTTGGGAGGTTTCTGTTTTAAAAACGAAATTGTTTTATACTAGAGTTAAATATTTTAATTAAATTGTGATTTATTATTTGAACAATGTGATATAAATTAAATTAAACTAAAATATACTAATCTAAATAATCAAATTTCAATAGAATAAATATAAAAGATGATTTAAATAAACAGTTTGTTAGAAGGTAAAAGATAAAGTGCTAAAAAGAATGAAAAGAATTGACGTGGACATCCTAGGTGATCAAGTTCAAGAACAAGTCAATATTCAACCAAGTAATCAAGATCAAGCTCAAAAAGTGATTCAAGATCCATTAGTTAATGTTGGAGGTCCTATGACGAGGTCTCGAAGGAAGAGAATGAATGAATCGCTCAACAATTTGTTTATGGATGTTCAAGCTCTCAATGTGCATTCAATTCCATGGGTTTCATGTTTATCTTGGAGTAGAATTGAAGTTTTTAGTGCACGTCAAGCTCTAGGTCGAAGTGAAGAAGCCAACGCAAAACTCGACAAAAGACCGTCGGGCAGAATGTCGGTCGACAAAGAGGTCAACGCGCACTTCACATTTTCCATCTTTCCTATTTCAATTAGGAAAAGGATTTTTCGGTCCTTTAATTGATATTGCTGGCTCTCCTACACCTTTAGAAGGTTCTAGATGATTTTAAATAATTGTAACATGTGCAATTATTTATTAAAATATTATTTAAATCTATATTAGGAAATTTAAGAAGACAAATCCCGATTGAACTTGTATTCGAATTTCTTTTTGTCCAAAGCAACATATGCCAATAAATAGGGGGCTGCACGACTCAAACTCATATATTTTGATGATTATTGATATTTCAATTCGAGACGAGAGGAAACTCCTTGTTTTTTTTCCTATTCTTTTCGAAAATTAGTGCACTGCACACTTGTTTGTGCATTGTTGACGCGTGCGCGTGATTTTAAGTGTTCTTCACGTATGGAGCTTTGTTAGTTTGTTCATTGGCGCCTTTTCGCTAGTCGTTCTATCCATAAATCAAAGGGATAGAGTTGTTAGAGAGGAACCGATTGGGTTGCTAACCAAAACACAATTCTTCATCTTTCGAATCTTCCATTCTTTTTGGTGCAAATTTTTGTGGTTGCATCGTTCTTCTTCTTTTCTTCTTCTCTTTCTCGTGTGATTTGGAGTATTCTCCATTGGTGTCGCAAGTTATCAAGTCTTGGGAAATTCATAGCTTTCGCGTTTGAGGTAATTCAATCATCTAACCTCAAGATTCGTATCAATTTGGCCTCAGAGCTTCGGTTCTTGATTTCTTACATGTGTTTTGATCTTCTAAAGCTCATCTTTGGTTGATCTCTGATTGTTCTTATATAGATCTCACTATTTGCTTCGAATTTGTTCTTGATTGAATTCAATTTGATAGAAGTTGGGTAATTAGATTTTTGGTTTAGGTTGTTGGCGGGCGTGTGTGTGTGTTTGCTGCCTAGGGATTTCGGTTTTAGGGTTTCCTAACCCTTGGACCACGTTTTTTATTATTTAAAAAGGAAAAAAAAAAGAGGAAAAAAGGGAAAAAAAAAAAAGAGAGAAAGTAGCCGGAAAAAAAAGAAAAAGAAGGCAATATTCTTATTTCCTAACTTTTATTATCGGATTTAGAGGGTTCCTTAGCCCCTAATCCATGTTTTCTTAGACAAAAAGAAAAGAAAAAAAAAAGATAACATATTAAAAGGAAAGTATCTTCTTTCAAAAGATATATTAAATCTTACCTTATTTAACGAGATTTGAGAGTGTGCATTCAAAATGAAAGTATCTTCTTTATAGAGGTATATCAAAGGTTACCTTATTTGAATTATTTGCACATTATTTTTGAAAATAATTGGAGTTTGGGAAGACTAGGGTTTTTGAATTATAAGCCCTAAAATTGTGTGATGGCCGAGAACTAGGGTTCATCCATAACCCTAAATCGAAGCTTGATTTTTCAGAATTTGCTCCAAGTTCTACTAGTCTTTTTTGTGAGATCTAAGTTTCATAATTGTAACTACTCGATTTATATTCATGTTCTTTCTTAGTTCTTGTTACAATTATTCAGAACCATACTTTTTGGCCCTCTTAGTCAATTGCACAAACTAGCACTGATCTTCATTGCACTGAGTGAAGGACAAAGACCGTGGTAAGAAAAGAGTGAACTTTCACGTGTAATGCGAAAAGCATTTGTTCCAGCTTCCTTTCAAAGAAAACTTTGTGGGGAGTTGCAAGATTTGAAGCAAGGTAGTAAGTCGGTTATGAAATATTATCAAGAGACCTTGAGGTTGAAATGCCAATTGAAAGAAGATAAGGAGCAAACTGTGACAAGGTTTCTACATGGTTTAAACCTTCCAATCTGACATAGAGTGGAGTTACAACCTTATCTTGATTTTGAGGATTTGTTGGATAAAGCCGATACTATTGAAAGACAAATGAGGGAATCTTCGTACGCAAGTAGGGCAAGGGCTTCTTCTACTAATTCGATACCCTTTAGGTCGAATAAATGGGGAAGTACTTCTAAGAAGCCAGTGGTTCCGAGTTCTAACTCATCCAAGAAAACGGTTAAGCCAACTGAGTTTAGCAAACCGTTAGAAAAGACGCCTATGGCCAAGCCTGGCTCATTTGCTAATGTCCAATGTTTCAAGTGTAAAGGAAGAGGACATTATACATCTGAGTGCCCTAGTAAGAAGGTTATGGTGCTTCGAGATGAGTGGTATTATGAGAATGACGAAGAAGAGAATGTAGATGATCCGTCGAATATGATTTTAGCAGCAAAGTCAATTGATGAAGCTACAAGTAGTCAGACGTATGATAATGGAGTATCCAAGAGTGATGATGAAGTTGTCTATGAAGAAGATGTGTGTCAAACTATGGTGTTAGTTCATGCTCTTAGTATCCAACCCGCTCAAGATGAGAATTTTGAGCAACGTACCAATATTTTCCATACTAGGTGCAAGGTAAAAAATAAGACATGTCATGTGATTGTGGATGGAGGAAGTTGCACAAATTGTGTAAGTTTGGAACTTGTCAAGAAGTTGAACCTTCCTACATTCAAGCATCCTCAACCTTATAAATTGCAATGGTTAGATGATTGTGGAGAGATTAAGGTGAGGTCGCACGCTCGTGTGCTTCTGAGTTTTAGAACGTTCCAAGATAAAGTTCTATGTAATGTGGTTCCAATGCAAGCATGCCACATTTTGTTGGGACGTCCATGGGAGTTTGATCGAGGTGCTAACAAAGATGGAAAGACAAATCAATATACACTTATGTATAATGGTTCATCTATTACTATGCGTCCATTATCTCCTACGGATATTATGGAATCTCAGAAAAAATACAGAGAGAGAGAGAGAGAGAGAGAGAGAGAGAGAGAGAGAGAGAGAGAGAGAGAGGGAGAGAGAGAAGACTTATAAGTGAGCCAAAAGAGTCAAAAGAGAGTCTTGGGGATGGAAAAGAATCAAAAGTGAGTGAGAGTATGAGAGAAAAGCCAAAAGCTAGAGAGAGAAAAGGCAGCTTTTATGCTTCTGTGGGAGACCTAGGGAGGGCTCTAAATACTCGCACTTCACTTGTGTTAATGGTGTGCAAGGATTTTTGTTAAACTAACACTAATTCTACTGAAGATGTTCCTAGTGTTATTAAAGTTGTTTTGCAGGATTACGAGGATGTTTTCCTAGATGAATTGCCGAATGGATTTCCACCTTTGAGGGGGATCAAGCATCAAATCGATTTTATACCAGGATCAGTGATACCTAATCAGCCTGCATACAAAGCGAACCCAGAAGAGACCAAAGAATTGTAACGTCAAGTCGAGGGACTCCTTGACAAAGGTTTGGTTCGTGAATTGTTAAGCCCTTGTGCAGTACCTGTTATTTTAGTTCCTAAGAAAGATAGAACTCAGCGTATGTGTATGGATTGTCGTGCTGTGAATAAGATTACTATTAAGTATAAGCATCCCATACCTAGGCTAGATGACATGCTAGAAGATCTATGTGGTTCTTGCATATTTTCTAAAATAGATCTTGCTAGTGGCTATCATCAAATTCGCATGAGAGAAGGTGATTGATGGAAAATTGCTTTTAAAACAAAATTTGATTTATATGAGTGGATGGTTATGCCTTTTGGTTTGACTAATGCTCCTTCAACTTTTATGCATCTTATGAACCATGTGCTTAGACCTTTTATAGGTAAATTTATTGTGGTTTATTTTTATGATATTTTGGTGTATAGTAGAGACAAAGTTTCGCATGCTAAGCATATTTCGAGTGTACTCTCTGCTTTACCTGAACATAAACTTTATGCTAAACTTGCTAAGTGTAATTTTTGTGTACGAGAAGTTATCTTTCTTGGTTTTGTTGTTAGCAAGGATGGTGTTAAAGTTGATGAGGGTAAG